ATATGTACAGAGTCATCAAAATTGATTGAGAGAGTTGGTACTCCCTGTTTTTATGACAGATTTGTTTAAGGTTATGTGGCAATGAATTCAGTGGCGTGACAAGAGAACTGGGGGTTGATTGTCGAATCAATTCCACGCCCCAAATTCGTCTTGAGTACCACTCCGGAAATGCCATCACTAGAAAAGTGTTCTGCTCTACAAACAGAGGCATATCAGGAAACGCAATCGAACAAATCCAAAATTCGAAACTTCAAATCTGACAACTAATATTTTTTACCAAAAAAAATCGAAAAAAGACGCCACTGAGTTTTGAAATTTGAAACTTCAACCTTCAAATCTAGCAGCTAATATTTTCATACAACTTAATAAACCAAATTATTCAAGTTCAGGTTTACCAACTCTCTCAATCAATTTTGATGACTGTATATTAGGCATGTCGTATAGATGGTAAAACCTAACCAATATTTGTCTAATCATCCCCACCAACAATAGGTTGATGTCATGACTAAAATTTACAATAGTATATTTTATAAAATAACATAATCCTGGATTTGTGGCTTATAAATCTGTGTCGAGTTTTTACCCTATACACCCAGATGTTTGTAAAAAAAAACAAAATTCACCGTAATCTATCCGTTTATCCCCATCCATAAAATTGATGACATAAACTCAAAATTTTATGAATGTATACTTGTGGTTTATGAATACATATATATTTTTTTGAATTACTTATATAGGGTGAATGAGACAGTCTATTTTATTGATCAAAAACGACTCACCCTATTTTCCCGAAAATTTGCGTAGACAATACTGTTATCATTAGTAATACAAATTGATATGTCTCCTTCCTAAAATCATGATAACGTCGTCATAAAATTTTCATATGGAAAAAGTCACGTGAAACACACGCACAGCATGCTTTTCTGTACTTTGACAGTCCACATTTATCTTTATTTTATCATAAAAATAAATAAAATTCCAAAAATGTAATTTTACAATTTTTCGCATAATCTGTATTTGTTCGTCTGAATTTCGAGGCGACAGAAGTTCTGTCTAAATATCTTTAGACCAATCTTTTGTAATGACACCTTTTGGCTTCCCGAGCTTAAGCTATAGAAGTAGGTAGCAAGGTCTATTTGACGAATGACAAATTTCATGATTTTTCCTGTTTGGCTTCTGTTTGTCTGGTGGTAAGTAACTCTAGATACGTAATCATATAAACTAAGGTTACTGGACAGAGTTGGATGGGACTTTGGGTGTATTTTATTACTATTGCGCAGATGTTTAAATTTGCGTGTAATGTGTTTAGATCCATTTTGTTAGTACAAGGCTTCCGTCGCCTGGACACAAATTTGTTTAATCTTTAGAAAATAAAATATATGCTTGAAACTTGTGTTTTATTAACCCACTGTAATTGTTTATTCCAGACATGTAGATTCTTGGAAAAAAAGTTTTCTGGACATTTTATAGCTCCTTACATATAAAGAGGTATTTTTCCCGTTTCCGTATTTCTGTCTGTTGTTGGCTGCTGATTTTATTAGACAGATAATCACTAGAACGACTTGATGTTCACCCAAAATTTGATGACGTTTTCTCAAAATCCTGCTAAGTAAATTTTGCTTCAAATTTATGGTATGATATACTTTTTACTTCCCGAGCGTAAGCGAACGAGGGGTGTTATTTATGCCTCTGGTTTTTATTTTACAGCGAGTATCACAAACCCAAAATCGAAAATCAAATTTTATATATTTTTTAAAGATTTATCGGATTATGCAGCGTGTTTCAAAATGATTTTCATCTAGTCGCCTATGGCTGCAGGTTTTCATCAAGGGAAAGATAGGAGTTGAAGCGATTTCAAAGCTAACTAGATGAAAATCATTTTGAAACACCCTTTACTTATAGCCTTCAACCAATTTTTTATTGATCCAATTAAGAGCCTCATTTTTTAGTTTTGCTTATACAGGGTCACCCAAAAAAGTAATAAACTAGTCAATTTCTTGTATAGACTAAAATAAAATCTGTCTGTTTATTACCTCCAAAAAATTGATGACGTCATCTCAAAATTTTGTCGAATAGATTCTACCCAAAATGTGCAAAAACTGATGAGTTTTTACTTGTGATTTATCTATCATTACATTCATATTTTTTAGCTTTGCTTAAACAGGTAGCTCAAAAAAAAATAATGAATGACACGATTTATTTTATTGATTAAATTGATTCGATTCATTCCATTTTCCCATAAAATTTTAGGTATACAATACTGTTATTTTTAGTATTAAACTGCACCAATCCAAGCTGATATACGTGTCCTTGCAAAAATGTTGATGACGTCATCACATAATTGTGTAAAGAAAAAACTCTACTCGAAAATGCTGGATATGTTTCATTGTGCTTGGGAAGTTCTGTCGAAACAAATTTCGACCAATTTTTTATTTGTGATTTTATCATGTGCCCATATTTCCAATTATGCTTGTATGAGTTATGGGAATGGTAGACAAATACAGGTTTGTTCAAAAAATGGCGCTCCAACATAATTCAAAATTCACAAGTCTAAGTCGAGAAAAATCATTAAAAAACTATTTACATCAATTTGACGTTCACTTACAAAAGCAAAATATCGATTCACACATAGACAGATCAAAAAATGAAAATTTAGCCCCTGTCGTCAGATACATCTTAAATTAATTTTAAATTTTTTGTAATGTTATAAAACCGTATTTTGAATAATGAAAGTGAATTAAAATATGGTGAAATTAACAAAAAAAAAAAAAATGGAACTTTGGATATATATTTGTACAAAAAGATTTTTTAAATTATTATTTCTCTGCGTGGTTCTGGACGTTTCATAGGGTTTGTGCGCCACTTTTTGAATACCCTGTATAAATTTGCAAAACCAAACTATTTTACAGTGTGCCTTATAGGTAACTGACATGAACTTTTTTGAAAATTTTGCGAGATGTCAACTAAAAATTATTTATTCATTCCGTTATAAGTTTAAAACTGTTAGTACAGCATGTTAAAAAATTGAAAGAACTAATTAATTTATTTTACTGATTAAATAAAAAATTGTTTAATTAGTTTTCACAAATTATTTATCATAAAAAGAAAATATTTCCAGAATCAACTTGTATAGTTCACGGAAGAAATTGGATTTGTTTGACTCCAATTTTTCGCAAAAAAATCCAAACTGTATAACAATCTTTTATAAGTGACGATTACCATCGGTTAAAATTGCCCATCTTGGACTTGCATATCAAAAATGATCGTGCATTCCATTCCCCCATGTGCCTTTTTTTTCACTGTTACTACCATTATCTATATATTTTTTATGTATAGAGATTATTTTCAAATAAAACAAATAAAATATCGCAAAATCAGATTTTATATTTTTTCAGAGAAGAGGAATTTGTTGGACTGTACTAAACGGACGAGGGAAGTTCTGTCGAAATAACTTTAGACCAATTTTTTATATTTTTTATTTGATATATTTATTCTTACTAAAAGTTAGTGACATCATTTTCCAAAATCAGTTTCGTCTCCGTAAGTTTAGAAATAAGTTTGTGTTGTTTTAGTACTTGTTAGCAACTTCTTATATTAATTCAATTTATTATTATTATGGGGAGATGGGTCAGGATAGGCTGTTCCAAATAGTTCGTAATTTAAATTACCATATTTGTCGTTCACGTCCCGCTTCAGGTTCATTCGTGTTGTTAAGTCGACCATACTGCTACATACTGGAACGAAATCTGCCTTTTCCCATCGTTCGATTATATTATAATAGAGTTGTCAATATAATACTCCTATTAAACATTTGAACACAATTTTAACGACCGAATATTATTTCGTTAAGGCTCATGTTAAGTTATAATAATACATAAATGAAAGATTAATGTACAGAAATTATTTAGCAACTGGAGTATTTTGTTCACCCTTTAAAAATTTGTCGGTTTGTTTGATGTTAAAGTTTCATATAATGCTGTATAGACAAATGAATGTCTAATACACAGTTAAAAATTTAGTTTGCATTTAACGGTATTGTAAGTGAACATTAAACTCATAAACACAAGCGTTTGCCTTTTAGTTACGTAATCCTGACTTTCAGTAATATGTCGTGTATGGATGATCAAACCATGCTAGAAAATTGCCAAAATTTCCTAGTAAAAATGGGAAAAACTAGTTTATTGCAAACAAAATATAAAAAAGATAAAGAAATTTATGTATTGCTGGAGGTACGATAACGTAATTATTTAATTTTTTGTTTGTATAAATTTAGTGTATCTTCTGTGTTAGTTTTGGAGTTGTTAATAGATTCGGTTAAGATGTTTATTTAATTTATCGTAATTTCCGAACATGGGGAACAATTACCATGAAAAGAAAGATCGGATGTGTCGATTGTTTCAATATAACAATTTAAATTCTTTCGCTAATTAAACTTGATGATCTTGGAGGCTTACGGAAAGCTATCTCGTGGTTTTAGTTCCGATACAGCGCTTGAAGCTTTCAGCAGGATGACATTAACTCCGCCTATCGCATGCGCTACCCGTATCAGCCAATCAGGTTAGTCAAGACTTATTATCACAGTGCTAATTAAACATCTCAAACCCATCATAAACAGCAGGAACAAAAAGGAGCGCTTCTGGAGCAGCATCACCACCGTCTCGGACCTAACAATGCGGCATTCTTAAATTAATTCCGAAACAAGAGATGCAAAGATACCTTTGTGTTCCGTTTTGAAGAGGGTCTCGATAGGGATGACAAGGGCCAGTTCGCATATCACTTTCTTTATCACTTTTACGAGATCCTGCCGAGTCTCGGCCGCCTGGATCGCTGTCAAATAATTGTGCATGGTGGTGAAGTGATGAGCATCCCCCGCAGAGGTGGTGCCTTTGGAGGGGGTAGGAACCGCCCCGCCCCTTAGAGGAACCGCCACTTGCGATATTGCTTCCTGCCATTCCTGCCGGCGCTTCGTGTTCCGCAGGAGCTGCACTACACTTCCTGTCAACACTGTCTTCCTGATCTATCATTGACTGATCCCTGCCATTTGCAACTGGTAGCGGTAACGACGCGTAATTAACGGTCAGTGAGGGGTTGTTTGCGTTTTCTTGCGGTGTCTGCACACATTCTCTTTAAGATTGCGAGTGAACTGAATCGCGGTTTATGGCAATTTTTTCTCGATTTGCGTGTTTCATGTCCGTTGACTATTTAACTGTTTATGTGTTAAGTCCCTTACATTCACAAGGTAAGTTTAGTGGAAATGCTGGCGTTTGCATGTCGCCGTGGGTGGTAAATAGTTTTGCTCCTTCTGTTCAAATATTTATGTACTGCCATCTTTTGGCATCGTGCCATAAACGTTACTGAGAAAGAATTCATGTTCTAATAAACAGTTTGGGGTTGTTAGGGGAACATTGTTGTCAATATTTCATTGTTTTCTGCAAGAACAATACGAAGTTAAGTACGAAATACGAAGGTGTTTGAATGTATTTTAAGCTTCATTTGTACTGAAAGTTGTCGAACTATAAGATTTGTTGCGATATTATTGTAAAACATGCTTTAACTCTAGAACGCAAACTCAATGAAATCAGCTGATATCAATCAAAAGTTAATACTCAAAAGCCGGAGTTATTTCAGTACGTTTTATTTCAAACTGCAGTTCATATCAACTTAGAACACAACATCATATTTTTATTTGCTAGAATTCTATGATGTTAAATTTGTCGATAAACACGATACAAATAAAAAAAAATGATTGAATAAATTTCCTACTGATCATACACAGCTAAATAAGTGACACACGCACATATTTTATACATATTTATTTTTTTTTCGTTTCTTCATTCACTTAAAACAAATTTCTGGATGACTTTTATTTTATCCTAACTTGATACTCATTTTAAACCGACATAGACATTATATTTTTATATTTCTTACTTATTTCCCTACATTATACGCTTGTTTCAAGTAGATAAACAATGAGCTTTTTCTCGAACCCAAAGCTTCCGACGTCTAACTTTCTCAAAGTGTGTTGTCCTTCACCAATCTACCCTTATGAAGTGTGTATTTTTCTTCATACACTAAATCTTTTATTGTATGACTATATTGTTCTATAAATACCTTGAAAATGTTTTACATATTATTGTTATCTCCCTGTTCAAAGCTGATTCCAGAACATTTTTACATAATAGTCATAATATTGCATTATTACTCATTTTACTAATATACTGTTACATATAATTCTGGGACCTAACTGCACAAAGCCCCTGTAAAAATTTATTATTTGTTGGTTGTTATTATACCAGACCTTTCTATCAACTCTCAATTTTTCTTATTACAGTTTATCTTGAAGGTAAAGACAATTTTTACCGTAAATACTGCTGTCCAGTTAATTCTTCCTTTCGTATTGTTATTTAACGGATTTTCAAAATACTCTGTCTAAACTGTCTAAAATTTATCAGTTTTCATGTTTACCTATGAGTAATGTTGTTATGCTTGTAATGATCTTCTACTTTTTCATTGTCTTTCCAAGAACCTCCCCTTTCTTCTTCCCTGCATTCTTTGTTTTGTTTTTATGCTTGTTTTATTTTTACTCTGTGTTTGGTCTTTAGCATCTGCTTTGGTAGTTTTGTTCGATCTAATTTAATTTTACATCTTTGGTCAAATCAATTTTATTGTTTTGTTGTCTTACTATTTACTTGTCTAACAGAAATGTATCTTTTCTAAAATTTTTCTTATCATATTTCTTGTAGAACCTCGACTGAAGTGTTTCAACACAATGTTGTTCTTACATCTTTGCAAAGTTTACTAAAAACTCAAATTTCTCGTCAAGAATCATGTTTTCTTCGTCTTTCCTGTTTATTCGTTACATCTTCTGAAACTATTTTCTAGTTGTACTTCGGTATCTTTTGATATTATTCTTGTGAACTTGAACACAATTCCAGCTGGAGGATCTATGAGCAATTAATAAATATATGAATGTTGAAAAAGCAAAAAAGATATAATTGTTACCTGTGTTAAGTCCTTAACCTTCAGGAGGTAATTCGATTCGTGGAAATGCTGGCGTTTGTATGCCGTTGTGGGTTGTAAACAGTGTTATTTCTTCTGTTTAAAGATTAATCATTCACATCAGTAGCATAAATTTCACTTAACCCACTCGTCTAACTTATATAATCATAATACAAGATTACAGCACTCTTGTCTTCAAATAATTTAAAAATCGTAGACAATTTTTTTTACGTTCATATGTAAACTTGTGCATGTATTATCAGTAATTATCATTCTCCAAAAATGTCCCATGGTAGGCAAAATTTATTTTTGAGATAATGCCTGCAACGTAAATACCTTGTTCTGTAATTCTGTTTTGATATAATGGGAAAAAATTGTTCTCATAGAGTTTGAGGTTACTACGGAATATTGTTGTCAATAGTTCATTGTCTTCCACAAGAACAATATCAAATACAGTATGAAATGTTTTAGTTCTACAATATAAGTTGTTATAAACAGCGAACATTAATTCAAAAATATTAATTTTGATTTAAGATTTTGTATTTCTTGTGACAATCTTAAAAAAAACGTTATTACAAAATTTTACTAACTTAACACATAGTGTGATTATTTATCATTCAGCTCATAAAGTATGTATACAATCTGGCTAAGAAATTACACAATTATGTTTTTTTAATTCTGCCGAAACTCTATAGCATTGAATTATTGATTTTCTCTAGAAAATGGCACTAAAATCGGTTTGTGCCTCAATGTAGATTTTTAGCATTCGGAATTTATGATTTAGATTGGTTTTTTAGAAGTAGCCGAAAATGACTGCAGTAATAAAAGCGCTGTTCTATTTTGTAAGGTACAGATAAGAATATTATGCCAGTACGTAAAGGTGCCGACGGTAGTTTATGATGACAACGGCTTTGTAGCCGCCCGGAACTGATAAAAAGTTGAAATATAGTCTATGGGGCTGGACATTATGGATAAACCACAAACTCCGCCACATCTACTTTACTGCAAAAATTCTGATACGGACACTTATCGCAAAAAGATTGCACTTATTTGTTACTCATTTTAATTTTAACATCGTGAAACGTGTAAGAAATATTGGAAAGTAAAACTCAAAATTGCATTCACCAACATATGTACTTCTCTAAGTTTTAGGAATGTTCAAAGTTTAGAAAGTGGCGTTTTTCACATATTAATTTCCAGTAGTAAAAAAAAAAACATATAAACAAATATGTCGAACGAAGGAAATTAAGAAAATATGTATTTATTATAAAGACTCTGTTTAACTGAAATCAAGCAAGAAAAGAAAGACTAATTTTTTACCTGTTGCCATGCCAATAAAAATCAAATAAAAAATGGTAAATTGATAACATGCTAATTGATAACTAATTCTGTCTAATCAATTTCTGTAGGACATGGTTAGAGGTCCAAATGTATACCATTTACAGCACTAAAGTGGGATATAATCCCGAAGTAATAAGGGTGTTTTCAAATATTTGGGAAAGTAAATATCTCAGGAATCAGGAGAAATTTTATTGAATAATTCTAGTGTAATTTTTATTCATTAATCCTGCTTCAAAAAGCTGCTTTGAAAAAATTGTATTTGTAAGGACTTCCTGACTTGGGCGGTATTGGAAGCAGCATGTGCCACGCACTCATTTATATCTAGGTCTTACTAATTTGTTTTGTGTTGGTCGTGAAATTAAAAGGAATAACTAGCTGGAGACGTGACAAACTGAATTTCCTACATCGACGTACATGCAATGTTTTTTAAAAACAAACTTGGTGTTACTGAGATATTTCTTTACTTGTTTCATTATTATAATTTTATACATTACAACTGAAAAGAGGTGAAAATTGCATTGATATCTGTCTCGGTGGGATAATTGTGGTGCCTTATATTGTGTTTAACTAGAAAATAGGATTTCAGTTCTTACAATAATAATACTGAAACGTTTGGTGCATATTTCCTTTATAACAGACAGAATTATGAATATCTTATTTTTATAAAAAATTGATAAAATTCCATTTGCCAACAATGTTTACCTAATGTAATTAAAGATATAAGCGTTGCTGTGGTTATCGTTTTAACAAATAAAATGTACATTAGGTACACTTGTGAGCACGAATATCGGGCACTGATGTTATTTCACTTACAGAATTTGTGAAACACTCCTTAGAAACCATAACCTTGCTTGCAATTTTAGTCATGCTTGTGGGATTGTCATTTTGACTTTTGACATATATACGCCACTCACAATGTCAATAAAGCTTAAACTAGATCCAATTTTTCAAGTGACAAAAAACCCTGTAGATCCGTTCAACGTTGCGAAATTTACTTTTGTAAAAATATGAATTTCCTGTAATCTACATCGGAAACAATTTTTTTTTTATTTTTTCGTGTTTATCAAAATTCCCTCGATAATGTACTCTTAAGGGTGTTTGCGGCCTTCCGGGCAGTCTGTATAATAGAATTATTTTAATTTGGTCTAGGTGTTATAAAACGGTATGTTACTGTTTTGTCTTCGTTCAACACACTGTATGTATGTACGCAGGTATAGGTTTCCGTCCTTAAATACAGTGTGTTGAACGAAGACAGAAACAGAAACATCCCAGATGTCGTAATGGGGACAGTTTTACAAAATTAAAAGAATTTTACTAGGTATATGCATATCTGTTATGTTCTACATGTAGTGACCACAACTTTCATAAAAAATATTTGGAATCATGTGAAAAAATTAATTAGCTGTCATGGTGAACATAGTCTAATTTCCGTGATTTAAGGTGCAGTGTGTACATGCAGTTTAAATGAATAAATTTGTATAAATATGCTTGTATTTTCTGGCGTACTGCATATAATATTACAAAATAGTGTTATTGCGATTTTGTCAGAGATTTCAAAACTGGTCCAAAGTATTTTTAACATAACTTTTTTCGTTCTACAACAACATTGTGTATAGTAGAACTTATTCTTCAATAATGACTTATTTTTTATAAAAATATGCTATATGTATTTGCCTAGAGACTAGAGGACTCTTTAAAGGACTCATAGGACGACAAAAAAATTACAGAAAATAAATTATAATCTAAGCAGTGTTAAAAATTAATTGTATTTTTTAAATATTATGTCGGTACACGAAGACCACTAAGAACCTCAATATTTCATTAATAAAAAAAAAAATCATACCACAAAGTTAAATAGTTCCTTGGGTAGCATACAAACATTAAAATAGTTTTCAATTACACAGAGTGTTCTGTTTTTCAGTCATAACACATAACGTAGTTTTTTTAATGGAACACGCTATATATTTTTATTTGTGACGTTGCCGAGTTATTTCAATTTCGTTGAAATTATTAAGCAATGTAAAAGTTCACAAAAAAGGGCTATAGGTTATTATTTTTGCAACCTATGTTACAATATTTTTGAAGCAACAAAGAAATGTACGAACTTAAAAAATTCTCAAATATGTATAACAAATTTCAAAAATATCAATATTTCGCTTTTTCAATATAACACCCTGTATTTTATTACTGCCTCCTACCCTTCTATCACTCTTCATAAGATATTATGTAACATGTTGATTTTTTTTGAACCCTTGGATTGTCAAAAATATTCAAGAAAATAGGAATAACGTTGCAATGTCGCATCTGAATTTTAAAAATAAATTAACAAGTCTAATCAGACTATGTAAAAATAGATGGAGTGATACTTTTATAAAAACTAGTACTATGTTACGCCTTAAAAACAGAACACTGTATAGTTGAAAATAATTTTAATAAAGCTATTCAAAGAACTGTATTATTTTGGTCTCTAACTTATTCTGATATTTCTAATAATTTAATGAGACCGAGGACCGGGCGCTTAGTGATCCAGCTTGTATACTGCAACACTACCACGATGTCAGTTTGTTGTAAGTAGTTCAACAAATTATGTGAGTGGTTTTGAAATATTATTACATAAAAAATAAATAGAGAAAGATATTCTTTCGGAGACAATCAGGAATATTTCCGAATTTTCTAATCACCTTCGAAATTTAACTAAAAAGATTTTCTTGTAGATTTCGACTTCTAAAAGTTACTTTCGGTCTCATTTCTTCGATAACTCCTACCATTTTTCCAGAATCGCCCACTGAAATATATAATAATAAATTTGGCAGTTTTTTAAATTGAATTTGAATTTCAAGCCGAAAATTTTGTTCCGGGACAATAGATGTGCTATATTTTTGGAATCAGTACGTCGAAATCTATATGTCGGAATTTTTTTGTGTTTTTTTTTTACAATATTTTTTCTTAACTAAAATAATTATACCTCTTGTGAAAATTTCGAATTTTTTCAACCACCTTCGAAACTTAACTAAAGATATTTTATTGTAGACTTCGACCTCCAGAAGTTACTTTAAGCTTCATTTTTTCGATAACTCCTACCATTTTTCTAGAATGAACCCACTCAAATATGACAATTTTGGGATTATTTTAAATTGAATTTCAAGTTGAATATTTCTAAAATTTTCCCCCGGGGACATAAACAAGGTATATTTTTGGAGTCAGCACGTTGAAATCCATGCCCTACAATTTTTTGTCGATTTTTAAGCCATTTTTCTCAAGACCAAAATTTTTCGATATCGCTTATGAAAATTTCGCAATTTTTCGACTACATTCGTAACTTATCTAAAGACATTTTCTTGTATATTTTCACCGATAGAAGTTATTTTCGGTCTCATTTATCCAATAACTCCTACTATTTTTCCAGAATCGCTCACTGAAATATAATAGTTTTGGTATTTTTTTAGATTGAATTTCAAGCTGAATATTTCTAAAATCTTGCCATAAAACCATAAGCACGCTACATTTTTGGAATCAGCACGTCAAAATCTATATCCAGGAATTTTTTGTGGATTTTTTGGTCATTTTTTCATAACCAAAATTTTTCAATACCCCTTATGAAAATTTCGGAACTTTTTGGACCATCTTTGATACTTAACTAAAGATATTTTCTTGTAGATTTTGAATTCCAGAAGTTACTTGGGGTCCCATTTCTTCGATAACTCCTACCATTTTTCCAGAATCGCGGACTGAAATATGATAGTGTTTGGATCAGCACGTTAAAATCTATATCCAGGATTTTTTTGTGGATTTTTTGGTCATTTCTTCATCCCCAAAATTTTTTCAATACCCCTTATGAAAATTTCGGAAATTTTTGGACCATATTCGATACTTAACTAAAGAGATTTTCTTGTAGATTTCGAATTCCAGAAGTTACTTTGGGCCCCATTTCTTCGATAACTCCTACCATTTTTCCAGAATCGCCGACTGAAATATGATGATAGTGTTTGGATTTTTTTTTAGAATAAATTTTAAGCCGAATATTTACAAAATCTTGCCCTAGAACCGTAAAGCACGCTATATTTTTGGAATCAGCACGGCGAAATCTATATCCAATAGTTTTTTGTGGATTTTTTGACCATTGTTTCATAACCAAAATTTTTCAGTACCTACCTCTTATGAAAATTTCTGAAATTTTTGTAGCACCTTCGATACTTAACTAAAGACATGTTCTTGTAGATTTTGAATTCCAGAAGTTACTTTGGGCCCTATTTCTTCGATAACACTCCTACCATTTTTTCAGAATCGCCGACTGAAATACGATGACAGTGTTTGGAATTTTTTTTAAATTAATTTCAAGCCCAATAGTTTTAAAATTTTGTCCCGGGACAATAAATGTACAATATTTTTGGAATGAGCACGTTGAAATCTATATCTAGGAATTTTTTGTGGATTTTTAGATTATTTTTCGTAACTAAAATTATATCTCTTACGAAATTTCGAAATTTTTCAACCACCTTCAAAATTCGAAAAAAATTTTGCGAATGTTTTGCAGTTACTAAAATAGTTTTAGTGAAAGTTTTACTAAAAATTTTAATTCAGTTCAGTCTCACGGATAAATGATATAATTTTATCTGTAAATGTATTCTTTTGTGAAAATTCCTAACGTTAAAATAAAAACAAATGTGGTTTATTAAGTCACGGATACAGGAATGGATATATGAAAATTTTTCAAGTTAGATTTTCTTAATTCGTGAACTAAGTAATAAGCAAAATATTGGGAGAGGACAAACGTGGGACATCCGGTATATGTACAGATAAAAGAACAGGGGAGATACGACGTTAAACATTGGTTTCATGGTGAAAAGCAAAAGGTTGTTATTAAACGCATACATGTTTAATTAAGTGATATTATGTCACTAGCTTAACTCAAAATCTTGTTTACCTTTAATTGCACTTTCTGTCTCTGTGTATATTTTAAATTTCTTGAAATTAAAAATTAAGAGTAATAGAACAGTGTTTTTCATATTTAAAATTACAAATGCTCAAAAATAAAACTGTTCATATAGTATTTTAAACAACTTTCAGGAAAACATAAAAATAAAGGAAGAGAAACGAATTCAACTTTCGTAGTTATTTTGAGTACGTAAAAAGAGTGGTGTGGGATAAGTTTCCTTATCTAACTTACCGTTTAAAAACCGTTATGTTCAGTCACCGCCCACTGGTACCGTAAGTGGGCAAACATTTTGCACAGAATGTTATTTTTTTTTTGAGTCATAATTTGCTCTCGTGCGAGGATATGAAATTTTCTCACCGCAAGTGAATATTTTTATTTATATTTTGATAAAGATAGATATTGTTGTAATGTTTTAGATGTCTAAAAATAAATTTTGTAAAACACTGCATAATGAGATGAGGGAGCTCTTCCTGTTGCCTAATTGAAACGGAAACGAACAATCGTGTTGGCCGCGACAAACTCGCGTGGCTCGACTTAAATTTACTGATAAAACCTCTGATAACAGATCAAGAAGTCGGTGATTACCATTTACCTATTAAATTTAAATATTAACTTATAAATATTCAGTTTACGTGTCCGTACAGTTTTTAATGTTTCATCCGTGACACAGTTCCCAAATATTTTCAAAGTACCTAACTTACGATACGCTTTTCACCATGAGGTAAGAGTCGAAAAATATATTTAAAAAATGTTACACTGCGATCTCGCATTTTAATTGCTGTATCTAGATATTAATATTAGCCTTTGGGGATGCATGCTGTGTTTGCGTGTCGATAAAGATACTTACGTTATTTTTACTATTAAAAAATAAACTTAAAATCTAATTTAAATTCTTACGCTGAGAAAAAATTAGCGTTGTGCACGAAAATAGAAGTAGGTTAATAAGAATTTAATTATCCTTGGAATGGTGTTTAGATGTGTTTTTCTTTCTATCCAGAAAAAAGTGTCCACTTCGCCGCAAAATGTACGAAAGCTCTTGTTCTTATCAAGGCGCTTTGGAGTTAAAACGAAGCTCAGGAAGTACGTGCCCACTAGGCATAAAGACTGAAGAATTCGGAACAGCAGCCGATTGGCCTGCTTATAGATTTTGCAACCCAAGCACATTCGAACAACTTAAACAAAGCGTCGAAAAGGCAAAAGCAGCTCTGCAGGTACGTCGTGTTGCTCATTTGTTTAGATTTTATATAGTCGTTATTCTTTTAGGACAGAAGTGGCTTTTTAGGAACGGGAAGCGCCTTCAGTGATTTGTACAGCGGAGTGTCTACCACGGGGAGATCCCAAGAGAATTTACAGGATAATGGCAGGACACGCGAAAGCGGCGATAATGACACGAAGAGATTAAGTCAAGGTAAGTTTTTTCGATTTACGATTTATCAACGTTTATGCAGTGTGTCCCACTTTTCGTAAGCGCATTTCCATTCCCTCTTCATTAACATAGGATGACTTTGAAATTGTGACACGTAGAGGAATGTAGGGCAAAGTGGAGCACGTCAAATCTAAAGTGTTTTAATTCAGACAATCGGGTTTTTATAATTAGTTTTTACATTCACGTTCATACCTCATCTTACAGTTCTGAGCCGAGATTGTCAGTTTGACTTTGACTTTTTTTTTTAAATGAATTTATTTTTGAAAATAAAAGCAATGTATGTTATAGTATTTGTAATAAATTGTTTATTTAGAAACAAAATAATTGTAGCGCTCAAAGACTAACTATTAATTTTATGATTAAAGTTTCAGAACGTAAGTTACTAATTCTTTTTAAGTATGTATATTAAAATTGTTCTCACATTTGAAGTTTAAGGGTCAACATTCGTTAATTCCATTTTTGAAAACATAGAAAAATGTTAATTTAATATTTCATAACAAAATTCAATTTACCGACAAATTTTTTACGTTTTTACAACTACTGGAGTGTTTATATGGTTCATTTTAAAATGAATATAATAGAAATGAAGAAAAAAATTCCCTGATATTCTTACAATGCAAGAATAAAAACTTCACTTCTTTGCCTAAGAGAAAATTAAACTAAAAGATCCGCTATAATAATAAGTAGTAATAGTCCTATCTATTTTGAAAGGATTGTAAAAGCTGAAATGCCCGTTTTTTGACAAATTGGTGAAAACTTTTTTTACCTTCTACAACATCATATGATCGAAAAAAGCCTTCTAACAGGCCATGGAATTTATTTTTAAAATAATGGTATTGGCATTGCCTTTATTTCACCGTAATTGTCAAACCAAATAAGGAACGCATCGGCTTTGTCAATATGATTATTTTAAAAATAAACTTCATGGCCTACTTGAGGACTTTTTTTCAGAGCGTGGGTTGAAAGAAGTATTTTAATACAGCCATTTTGACAAATATTAAAAATAAAACAAATAAAAGTTCAAAAATGAGAGTATTAAATTAAAAAAAAAAAAGAAAAAACATCCAATTTTCCGAACACTTTTTGTCTATTGGCAGTCGAAACTAATGATTCATTTTTCAGAAGAAACGACTCTTTTATTTTTCGGTTAATGATATTGTATAATAAAAACAAAGTGTTGTAAACTATTATTTATGCAGTCACTTCTGAAGGTATACAAATCGATTTTGTGAGCTTTTATTTGTGATAGACTCTATACATTAAAACAAATATACGACATCCAACTTTTTTCTAATGACACCCTATATTTTGTAGAGGTTCTTGTAGAACTGGTTTTTCTGAATTAATCAATGTATCATACTTTAATCACCCATACTTCGCCACTGCCTATGATTCGAACGCAGTAAGTTACGAAAGGACTGTGTTAACTTGTTTATATTTGGTCTGCAGTGGTACTTCTTCACCCACGATAACCTTGTAGGAACTCCACTTTTTATGTACTAGTATAAAAGGCTGCTGTAAAATTTTGGTCTTTTTTTCGAAAATTTGGATGCCTTGGGGAAAATTTCAAGGCGGATTCATAAACAAGAAATACAGGAGTATGCATGTATTTAAATCCTACTTACTATAAAAAAAAAAAAAATGAGGGGATATCATTATATTGTTGATGGGGTTGATTAGGCAAATTTTGGTTAGCGTTTTACCATCTACACATTATATTCCGTACATATCTAGTATCTAGATATAAAATTTGACAACAATCGCTCCGGTAGTTTCGAAGATTATTTGACTAATAAAAATTGACCCAGACGACAAATAGAGAGATCGACAGATAGATAGACAAGGGAAGCCGGAGACATATTTCTTCCTAGTCTATGATGGACTTGGTTACAATACCTCCTTAGTTTACACTCGGCAGGTAAAAATGCTACTGTAATACTGAATAAAGGATTTTCAGATTCTTTGAATAAACCGTAAGCATTTCATAAACAAGATATTGCAACATCAGTACGATCCATCGCTGAAATCAGAACAAATACCTTTAATTCATTCACTCAATTCACTTTTCGTGTTTATTGGAAGACATTATAGGTGATCTCAGATGTGTAACTGGCTGAAGATTATTTACAATTTTCGGCCGATTGAACCAATTTTAACCATTTTTTTGGAACATTTTTGAAAATTTTGAATTCATTCTTTGTTGTTTTTTCGAACACATATTCATGGGGATTTCAGATTTGTAACGAGTCAAAAATTTTCTACAATTCTGCGGAAGATTATTTACAATTCGCCACCAAGTCTCAGTCGATTGAACCCAATTTAACCATTTTTTTTGGAAAATTTCATTCATTCACTTTACGTGTTTATTGAAACAGATATCGTGACGGCGATTTCGGATTTCTTACTGGTTGAAGATTATCTACAATTTGATACTAGTTCTCAATCGATTGAACCCATTTTAACCATTTTTTGATTGGAAAATTTTCGAAAATTTTGAATTCACTTTACGTATGTATTGAAACACACAATTCTACATAATTATTTTATTTATTTATTTATTATTATTTTATTTATTTATTTAGTTATTATTTACGTAGAAGATGATATATCGAATGGTTTTTCAACTCCGCTAAGCCTCTTCAAAAATAATATAGTAAAAACATATTTTCATAATATTGAAGGGGTTAATTTAGTTCATTAGGTAAGAATATTTATTTTTAAAGGACATGAAAATAAATGAACGTGTAGGTCATAATAGACTAGGACCCGGTTTATAGAAAGCGAAATTAAAGTTAATTCGCGATTAACTTTTAATTGAAAGGTCCGTTGCTAGGCAATGTACATGTTTTAACCAGTCACGGGCATATTCCACATTTTAATCCTCTGTTAAATTAATCGAGGATTAAATATTTAATTCGCTTTTCTATCAACCTTTACCTTTTGATTTTTCTTAATTTTTACTTCTCGAGCATAAGCGAAGGAAGTATTGTAATCGAGTCCGTCGGCCGACTATCTACTTTTACGTGTTCTCGACCTTTCATGACCCCTACAGGACGAAGAAATAGGTCTCCCGTTTCCGTCTGTCTGTTTGTCTGTCCGTCTGTCCGTCTATCTGCCGTCACGGATTTTTATTAGACAGATAATCTACGAAAGTACTAGGCCGATTGTTGTCAAATTTTGGATTTATATTAGAATATCATGTAGATGGTAAAAGGCTCACCAAAATTTGTCAAATATTTCCCACCACTAATGCGATGACGTCACTTTAAAATTGTACATAGCAAAACATTTTAAATTGTATAAAATAACATAGTCCTAAACATGTAGTTTATGACTCCGAATAGAGTTTATACCCGAAACGTCCAGATTTTTGAAAAAAAAAATCAAAATTATGAAACAACATTTTGCAATTTAATTTTGAATCTGCTAAACCGAATGCTTTGGAATTTTGCAGATGTTTTAAGGTTATAAAGAGCATAATAAATTTTTAGTCAAAATATATTTGCTTATCCCCTCCAAAAAATTGATGACGTCACCTCAAAAGTTTGCCGAATAAATACTATCTCAAGTCTGTACTTGTAATTTATAATTCCCTTTTTTTATATTTACTTGTACAGGTGACTCAAAAAATTAATAAATGTGTAAATTTATTTTGTTGATTTAATCAGGAACTACGAAACCGAATGCTTTGAATTTTGGAGATGTTTTAAAGTTATCATAAGCTTGGTAAATTTTTGATCAAAATGTATTTGCTCATCCCTCCTAAAAAATTGATGAGTCTGTACCTGTGATTTATCATTCGTATACAGGGTGACTAAAAAAAAATATCATTGTATTTTAGGAGCGAGGGAAGTTCTGTCGAAAGAACTTTGGACCAATTTTTATTTATTCAACGACAACCTAAAGCTGACCAAGGAGGTTGAAACCAATTCTGCTTTTGAATAACAGAAAAATAAAACTTTTAATTTTATTAAGATCTCTCTAATTCGTACGTCAGGGCGAACAATATTAGGGATGACTAGGAACAAAAATAATTGTTAAAGTAATGTATTCATAACGTAAAAATTTCAAGAGAGAAAATTGTTTAAAAAAATAATTGCATCAATTTAAGCCTATGCTGCAATTTACTACAACGATAAGATAATCTAGTTTTTAAAGCAATATGCATTACACTCTCATTTGCGCTACTGTTCCCTACGTTCTATAGAGCGCTTTTTCTCGTGTCTTTACATGTAACTACATTAGATAAAATTCTATTTGCGATGATTTGCAAATAAATTAAAATTTTTAAGTTTGCGTCCTGTCGAAAGTATAGCGGAGTGTGACTCGTAAATTTGTGATTTGTAAATGGCAATAACTGATACTCTGCATGACGTTGCAATTCTTCTATAAAAAGTGGGACGTTCTGCGTTTACGACAAATGTCTTTAATAACTTATAAAATTGAGAATTACGTAAAGCTGTCCGTAAGTCCGGAAGGCGTTTGTCTAGAATTTCTGGAAATAGTATAAATTTATTGTTCAACTAATCGGTTCTGTCTTGTTTCTTCTACTGATTAAAGCGAGATAAATATATCGAATAAAAGTACAATTAAGTGGGAATTTTTTAACGTGCCAATTTTCTATTTCAACGGAAAATAAAATTTACATGATTAAATTCTGGTTTTTCGTTTGAAAATACCACGTACTACAGAGTTGTGAATTGCTGAAACAAAAAACTTTGTACAAGTATATCGCAGTCAGTAATTCTTCAAGTTTACAGTATTATTATGCCACTTTTAATATCATCGCACTAAAGTAATATTTTATTACTTATTACTTTTCCCAATACTGTGAAAAGGAAAATAATATTAATAATAACAATAATATCTATTAGTGTTAAGAACTTTGTGTAAAAGTTTTGCATGCGTCACTTTGAACAATGTCCTAGATATAACGCAATCACAAAACACAAAAATCACGTTTTAAAAATTCATGGACACTG